ACGCCTTCTGTATGATGGAGTCGAATATAAATTTTGTTTGTGCTGACGGAGGCATTTTTCTTCCGACAACCCGAAGCCCAATGTTCGGTGCTACCACACTTATAACAGTGATCACACCTTCCCTCAGCCTTAGACAACTGACACATCTGACACAGTTTACTGTTTGGGGTCTTTGGCTGTGGTCTGTATTTCCTGCCTGGCTGTTCACTCATTCTCATTGGTTGAGGAATGAATGGTGAGATTCTGAATGGCCTCGCATATAGCTTTATTGCCCTGATCAACCTTTTCCATCAGTGTGTCACGTTTGTTCTTACTGTCTGGTTTGTGTGCTTGGAGCTCTTTATCCACATCTTCATTTTCCTCACTAATCATGGCAACTCTGATCATTCTTGCTTTTGACGTAGATGACAACTTATTCTTTCTTTCTGTCTCCAGATTGTATGCCATTGTCACTTTCTCCAGAAGAACCTCATCCTTGACTTCCGGATCTTGTAAGTATGGCTTCACATCCGCACGGATGGTGTCGCCATGAAGAGCAGTGAGTACTGTTTGGAGGTACTGATTTTGAATTAGTTCTGCACTGTACTTCAATCCAGATTTAACTCTTTCTGAAGCGAGGACAATTTGTTGTCTCAGGTTCATAGCTCGCACCACAAACTGTATGGGGGTTTCTTTTGGCTCTTGAACAGCGCGCGTGAGGGAGTGGTACAACTCAGTAGCATCCTTTTCAATGTAATGAGTCCGTAGTATCTGTCTGAGGCCTTGTAATGTTAAATCAAACCTGCTTTCAAGGTAACTCTTCAGCTTTGTTCCTGGAGCTATGGCTTGAATAACAGCTTCAACAACTTCTCCTTTATCATATCCTTTTTTCAACGCCCTCTGAATTTGTCTTTCCAAACTAGTGTATGCCAGTTTATCCTTTTGATTTGGTTCTCCGATTTGTCCTATTATTTTAAGATCTCTTCTGTACAGTGGATGAACGAAGGCTACACTCTGATTCGCAACAGATGCGGCTTCCATTGCGTTTGCAGCAGAAACATTCTCTCTTTGCTCATTTAAGTTACTGGGTGTCATACTGACTTCGTCCACGGGGTGGCACTGTTGCCCTATTTGTTGACGCGGGGCTTCACCATCATAATTTTTCTCTTTTAGTTCATCAATTTTATCACTTAGTTGCAGTAACACAGACAAGCCCTCATCCTCTCGTGACGTTACCTCTTCTCCTTCTAAATACTGAAGAATATGCCTCCTCAGCTTACGTGGTAAGTCTCTTTCACTCCTATCCACAATTAAGCCCAGCGCTGTGCATATATCATTCAACTCCGATGCTGACAGTGTTAACAACTTTTCTTCTATGTCCGCCACGACATTTTCCCACTCAGATGACATCTGCTGTGTTTTAGACATGACAGAAAGGTTTTACTTTTACAACTTATGTGTAGCACTGCAGTATTGACAAAGTCGGTATCCCTCGCTAGCCGCCAGCTCTCACTGCGTCACAGCCAGTAACCGGTGTCTCGTCCTGCTTCCTCGCTATCAAACTCACGACCGGGCGGAAACACCAAGTTTATGTTGCACTCCTGGACAGACAAGACTCCGTCTTCCTTTTTTTTCACAACTTTATTCTTCCCAGTTCGAAGTTGGAGTTACTATTTACATGCAAGGATTTCACTACACACACACAATCAACAGTTCGCGTTCACTCTCCTCTTCTCTTCTGCTCTAGGGCATTCACTGATGACATCACTCTTCCGCTCACTTCTGAGCTCTCGGCAACTAAGTCAGTCAACATAATATAACAAAATAAAACTATATCGCAATTTACATTTTTGAACCGTGCCCACCTCCGTCTGTCAGTGGATCAACAGCTTCCAGACAGACAAGCAGCAGCTAGTAAAGCTGGGAAAATTTTCATCCAGCACCGTACTATCAGCACTGGCGCCCCCCAGTGTTGCGTCCTCTCCCCACTGCTCTTCTTCCTGTACACCAATGACTGCACATCTAAAGACCCCTCTGTTAAGTTCTTAAAGTTTGCAGACGACACCACACTCATCGGTCTCATCCAGGACGGTGACGAGTCTGCTTACAGACAAGAGTTTGAAGAGCTGGCTGTCTGGTGCAGTCTAAACTGTGACAGAGGACTCTGTCACTGGCCGGGATAGCACTTGAACTCCCGTCCCCCTTTAGTTTTATAAGCATCATCGTGCGTACAGTTACAGTTTATAGCCTTTCCCTCGGGTGCACACTTGGGTTTGTGCTACTGTTATGTTCGCATACATGCATACACTCACTTTAATCTTCACATATCCCTGCTATAACCATTTCAATAATCACACGCATACTATAGATAGGTTTAATTATTACATCTTTTATTTACTTATCTGTATATTTGTCAGTTTGTGTCTCTGTTCGTGCTGTGAGGTTTCTTGCTTTTGGCGTCTTCCGTGTTGGATCTGCTGCCAGTACAGCAGATGAGAAGGGTCAAAACGCCGGAGGCGGTTCGTAAATGCTTAAGACAGGAACTTTCGCGGGCTGCGCATGCGCAAACCTTCCGCCGGCTGGACTGTTCTATGTGGTTATGTGTGGGGAGGGGGAACGGGGAAAAATTTTCTTGATTTATGTCTTAACTGTTTGCCATCGAGGATAACGCATGCATAGTTTGAATCAAGACTTGTATACCCGTGAGAAATGTGTGTATAATTAACTTACCATTTTGTAGAAGTTTGAAAAAGTATTCCTTGCCTTGTATTTACTTTCAAATGGTTACTCTCTTTTCTCTCTACACTATAAAAGGGTTGATTTATTTCTCATTTGGGAGGGGGAAGTTGAGGAGGACAGTTGGCAGTGCAAGCCATGCCAGTGGAAAACCTTTTTTGTAGAACGTAGCTCAGCCAAGCGCTGGTTGTAAATATTTTGTAAAGGTTTATTTATTTTTTTTATTATTATTTTGGTGTTGGTTAAATATTTTGTATTTTGGGACTGTGGACATTGGAAATAAATGACCTTGCCCTGTCGTGCTATTGTGGCTGCGCCATCATTCCTGTGTTTTTCAAACCTGCCTCTTCACACCCAGCACACTCCCTTTTTGAACTGTTGCCATCTGGTCGACGCTACAGAGCTCTGAGCACCAGAACGGCCAGACACAGGAACAGTTTCTTCCCTCAAGCAATCTATCTTATTAACACTTGACAATAAAATGTGGAACACACAACACTATCATGCATTTATTCAACACACATACTTATTTTCATTTCAAATTTGCACATAACATACCTGTACGTCCAAAATGGTCTATTTTGTATATTGTGTTTTTGCTATTTTGTACATT